AAGTATAATATCACCCATTGAACTTGTAGAAAACATAGTAACATGATAACTACCGATTCTCTGGTCTCCTCAGTTATTGCATCTCTTCGCCACGAACGTTCTTTTGAAAGAATTATGTTAAATCCTGGACTTATTTCATACTGTGTACGTTTACAACATCGGTTGTAAACAAAATGGAATCCTTCAGGCATATTTTCTCTGGAAAGAGAAATTTCATTCTCATCGACATCTGTCAAACTCAGTTCGGCCAGAAATTTTGACAAAGCTTGGGTTTCTTCATCACTAGGCACGTAGTCTGTGTGAAGACCAGAATCTAAAAAAGGCAAATAACACAATGTAAGGTCTGGAACTACAACTTAATATAGTTAGAGTCGATCAAGTGATGGTAGAGCTGCGATCTCAATGCATGTCTCATGTGTTCTTGCAGGGCGCATTAGCTTAACTTTTCTGAGAGTGTTAACTGTCTTTTCTGATAATAAAAAACTGAACAACAATCCATTTGACCGCTTTTCGTAATACAAGTGACGACCTATGCGCCAAAAGGTACCTTGTTAAAAAGATAGATAGGTATTCCTTCTTTGCACTACAAACATGTAGGTACCAACGATCTCCCTTCCATTCATTCCTAGGTTAAACTATATAGGAGAGTTATAGTTATAGAAAGTATGGCTACTCGATGTCCTCATACTTCACAATCAGCTAACAGTTTTGGGATGAGACCAAAAAACTAGCTAAAAAAACTTGTGACAACCAAAGTTCCGCTGAGAGACGCAAACAGAAAAATAGTTTTTATCGAGATTTTTAAGGCAGCCCCTGACCAAATAAACCCAACATGCTTTCAGAGCATATAGAAAACCATTTGAGACGTATATGGAAACACTCGGTTGTTGGGTGCTCCTGATTAGATAATACGTTTGACCTAGCTTATTGCAGGAGGGAAAGATCTGAAAGATGGCTATACCATCCTTTGGTTTACCCGACCAGAATGAGTCGCCTATGGCCTTTCCACATTAATTAACGAGTTCTATTCTCCTTGTTGTATTTCCTCTGTCCATACCACGGAGCTCAGTGCGCTAACCGCGCACAATTTAATATGGGCAAAGGTAGTCACTGTTAGTAGTAATGGTGAAGATATTGAAACGGATAAAATGGAATCTCCAATTGCCTTGTCAGTCTCCCGTCCCTTTTAATTGGAAACCTTAGTTTCTGTTAAACTGATCACAGTCCCCTATTTTTTCGTGAGATCGACGAGATATAGCGCCTTAGCGTTAATGGCGGCCATCTTGATTTTCAAATGTACCGAGGGGGCGGGCGTCGGGGATTATACCGCCAGGAGCTAAGTGTAGTTTTGACCCTCATGCAAGATGGTAGCAGGTGACGCAAACCGCTCGATCTCGACGAACTTACAGAAAAATAGAGTACTGTGAGAAGTCTAAGCTTCTGTTCACTCTATCGTCTATTCAGCCACATCATCGATATCGTACCTGATTGACCGCGGACAGTCAGTCGACAATCAAATTGGCAACCAGGAAAGAGTATGTCTGCCTGCAGGTAGCTGCGAGATGGAACGACCAGCCATCCACGGCAACGTGACTGCATAGCTTCGTCCTTAAAGTGTATCTCTTCCAAGATGTTTTTTACGTCACTTAACGGTAGGGGAATATCTTCCAGCCGTTTCCCGACGTTTTTCTTTGCAACCCATACCTACGTCATAACATAACTGTATTTTGTCATCTAAAACCTTTAATATTGAGGCATGCAGGAAACCGATTTTGAAAACTGCAGCACAAAAGCAGTGAGTCAGAAATAAGGTCATGAACTGCTGAATATTAATTGAAATGCTATTACTTTTAATTGATACTAATTAACATAGACATTTTAAATTCCATCCATTAACAGGTAACTGATTCGTAGCTGTTCACGCCACAATGAGATTGTGTCAAGGGAACTCCACTTTATTTATTCCTTCCAATCCAATAACCATTAGAAAAGATGCAGTCAAGTTTTATCCCACTAATCGGGCTTAACCTCCTAAGACTAAGTTTAAAAAAGGATTATTTCCAAGGCAACTAATCATAACTTTCATCTTTTCTCGGGTATATTGGCTATCACTGGAGGTTGAAATCCCGGCGAGCCTGAAAAATTTATTTTTGCCACTGCATGGAATATACCCGACGTTTACCTTACACCTAATTTGATGTCCGGATGGTGTCAAAAATGTCAAATCATGCCTTGCTGCATAATCTACATATTCCTCAGGGGTCTTGTCGCAAACGTTTTCTTCGAATATTTTTTCCTCGAGATTGACCACTTCTTTAAATACAACCTTCCAGTTGTCTCCACCTGATTGTCGCAGCTTTTCTGTTACCTCGTCAATACTCCATCGTCCGTCATTAGCTTCCTCTATACAAAGAATTAACAACATTGTCGAAGGCGTTACCTTTATTAAATGGAGGTGAAAATCTGAAGAGCCTATGAAATTAAGTAACATAACTATCTCCTTGTGCGTACTTCGTGGTAATGGTTGGTCACACTCACGACCTTTTTCCAATACTAAACCAGTAAAGTTGCCCAGAAGTCAAGTAAGGTAGCCTTACACCAAAATCATGAAAGGCCAACTCAAAGAAAACAAAACCCCGGAACAATAATGTCCTAAACAAAATCTCCTCAACCTACAACCTCCAAAATTTGCCATTTTTACGAAGATTAAAGATCAAGTCTTGCAACGAAAAGTTATTGGTTCATTAAGGATGTTTCTTCAGGGATTTAACCTAGCTCATAAAAAAGAAAAAAAAATTGTCATAATCCAAAGATGGAAGAAAACGCTGTAACCTACCTCGGTTGGCTCCTCGGATCATGCCTGTCCCAAAATGACACCACATCTCGGCTCTGAGATACTCTTTTGAATCAATTTCTTTTTTGACCATGCGCAGTGCATTTAAAGTATCAATCTTTAGTTGTGACAAATAGGCTGGGTCATCATTTGGACTGCAACCGTCCTAATAGGAAATGAAATGAAATTTTTAAAAATCACTTGAGTTTATAATTCTAAAAGATTTAGGTACGGTGGTCTACGCAATTAACACGTTCTAAAGCCAAATGTGATGAATTCTAAAATGGCCTAATTCTGGTTAAAAAAATAATACAATAAATAAATAGCCATTAGAGCACTGCGTTTTTCCGCATTTGATGTAGTCGGCTTCAGTTATGGCTTCAGTACTTCAGTTCTTGTGCAAATCAACGTCCTACTGAAAAAGATGTTGACCAAATCTTTCTTTGGTTACGGGATATGACGTTAGGATATGAGGTTAATCCATTAAAATGTACATTTGTAACAATATCTCTTAGTCTTTATGTTTTACAAAAAAAAAAACATTTTAAATCTTTTTACCATTTAAATGAGTCTGACTTCCCAGGAATGTTCAAAGTGGTAGTGACGGTAAATTAGACTCAACAAAGATTTGAGATAGCACAATGTTAGGAGCTAACACGTAATGATTCCTTATTTCTCGCAAATCTGACAGGAAGAAATTTCCCACCTGTGGTTCATGATTCTGGACCGGCGTCAGTCGGTAGTAGGTACGTGAATCTGAAAGCAACGTGTCATCGGTATGAACTCCATGTGCTATTTTCTCCAGCTTGAGATTGCAGTCGGCTGGAAGATAGCTACTATCGATGTAGCAATATGAGTTTTTGAACTCATTTTCCAAACCCCTCAATCTAGCTCCTACCTACAGAGATAGATTCAAAAGAGTGGATTTAAATCAAAAGGCTAAAATTAACCTATTGAATGAAGGTACCATCCCTGAGAGCACGGTTATGTGAATTATAATTACTTACGATGGTTATTTTAATATAAACTTTTGCCTTTTGTCTTTGTTCTTCTGTACCACTGACAATGTACACCTCTCTGTCCGATTTTCGAATCACCTTTGCACCTGTTTGATTGCTGATTCTTCTTAGGTTACTGCCCTCCTTACCAATCACTAAACCTTTGTATCTTTCTGGAATTTCCACTAGTTCACCAGCTAAGGATTGTTCCTGGATCCTTTTCTTTATTTTCTCCTGTCGAAGGAAAAAAGGCCGTCACGCAAAAAGTGCGTTTCCACTTAGACACAAGTAGAGACACACATACACGCAGAAAACATCATTGGAGATGAAGATCGCCTTATCAAGCAACCTTTTACCTGGGAGGCTTCGGCGAGAACCTGTCGAAAACTCATTCATGAACTTGGGTTATATTTTTATTCTTCAAAGAAATGTATGTCTGGGCACAGGTAACCCAGGCTCTGTGATAGTACCGCAGTACGGTTCCGGTAAAATTACAGTGTTTGTAAGGGCTAAAAATACCATCCTAAAATTTCTAGGAAATACTGAATAAAGATCAATGAAACTTACTCTGCAGTTAATTGTTGTTGTCCTTATTGCTCCAACGAAGTTTCGTGATAATTTGCAGTAATTTGTTCAAATTCACACTATATACAATAATAATATACAAGGTAGGAAACACGAGATACCATTGTCGCCGACATGCTCTAATTCAACACAACTTTTTCCACGAAGTTCAAACTCCAAAGGAAAATAAACATGCCACGATCGTAGAAATAGGATAGCAGCAGATATACAAACCAATGAAGCTTTCCCAAATAGAGAAACGAATCCAACAGACTTTGACAAACTCGAAGGATATAATCCAAACAGACCGAAAATATGCTCGCCGAAGCAGCCGGGCCAGATCAACGCGCGGCCAAGAAAATGAGGCCTGGGCAGTGTAAAAAAAAACATCCCGGGAGTCCTGAGGTGACCTTTCTGGGGACCGGTACATCATTTGCCCAAAGCCACCCTACCCTGCTGAAAAAATACTTGATAGAAGGCAATTGTTCTTCCTAGCCGTACCACCCTGGCCTGTTATAAAGATATTATGTCCCTCTCGAACTATATTCAGCGCGTGGCGCTGGTCCTCAGAACGTCTATCAAACATGAGTAGGGCAAGGTTATAAGGGCAAAGGAAATAACGAAGGTGGATTTACAAAACTTAAAACGAGCAAAAGGTATGAGTGAATTTTGGCTCTTACCGTCGCATTTGTACAACGGGGCCAAATTCAAAGAGAGGTGCCACGATGGTTCACATATTTAACTGATAGAACGTCCGGTTGTATTGACAAGAAGTCGGCGTGTTACGGCCGCATTGTTTACTGGTGCACATGCCTTTCACATTCGTCTCAGTCATCGCAATTCATATTCTGTTGGAATTTTCATTATTTTGTAAGCTTCACCGTTTATTTACGATCGTTTCGCTCGAGAGTTCACAGCAACAGTATCTCAGTCATCATCTACCTCTTGTTCAACCTCGTTTTTAGCCCGCCTTGTAAGTATTTCGCGATATTATTTCATAGTTTCATTACTGTTATTTGCGTTCTTTAGTAAAAGAAATGGGGCGCCTTGTATCTCGGCAGACTATCCTGGTTTTATTTTTTTTTTTTTAGCCATTTAAATTCAGGCGCGTGTGCTGGGTTTGCTCTGGCAAATTGTGATTGGCTAGGAAGAACAATTGCCTTCTATCAAGTATTTTTTCAGCAGGGTAGGGTGGCTTTGGGCAAATGATGTATCGGTCCCCAGAAAGGTCACCTCAGGACTCCCGGGATGGAACTTTTTGTACAGTGCCCAGGCCTCATTTTCTTGGCCGCGCGTTGATCTGGCCCGGCTGCTTCGGCGAGCATATTCTCGGTCTGTTTGGATTATATCCTTCGAGTTTGCCAAAGTCTGTGGGATTCATTTCTCTATCTGGGAAAGCTTCACTGGTTTGTATATCTGCTGCTATCCTAGTTCTACAATCCTGGCATGTTTATTTTCCGTTGGAGTTCGAATTTCGTGGAAAACGTTGTGTTGAATGAGAGCATGTCGGCGAAAATGGCATCTCGTGTTTCCTACCTTGTATATTATTATTGTATATAGAGTGAATTTGAACAAATTACTGCAAATTATCACGAAACTTCGTTGGAGCAATAAGGACAACAACAATTAACTGCAGAGTAAGTTTCATTGATCTTTATTTAGTATTTCCTAGAAATTTTAGGATGGTATTTTTAGCCCATACAAACACTGTAATTTTACTGGAACCGTGCTGTGGTACTATCACAGAGCCTGGGTTACCTGTGGTCTGGGATCCTAAGCTTGCCTCAGGAAAAGCTATTTTAGTTAATTTGTTTCAATTTAATTGGGCCAGTGTGCTACGGCTCTTTCTAAATTTAAAATAAGAACGTGACGCTGATTATTTAAAACGTGGGATAAAACTTGTGAGTGTATTCAGTTACACTATCATACTATGACCCAAGTTTGAGAGCGTCGTATCTTCTGCATGAAATTTGCATGCCGTTTACTTTAATTTATTTTGACGACAATGCATCATTCCCAAACAAAACCTATTTTGCCAACCTGAAAAATTATAATAAAAGTTCCCACGAGTACAAATTAAATTGAAAGAAAAGCACCCTTCGACGACATTTCCTCATAACTCACCACTTTTTTTATGATAAGCCTCTTGGCGCATGTTCTTTGCTCCTCATCGCCGGTGATCGTAAACCCTCCCTCTTCCTTGTTCAGTGAATGAACTCTAGCCCCTGAATTCTGTCTTATTTCATTGATTGTACGGCCACCTTTTCCAATCACGTAACCTTTCAAATGAACCGGCACTTCTAAAAATTCGCTCTCCATTTCATCTGTATTTCGCTCCTCTGTATTGGGTGTAAGGAAATCTGGTAAGAGAGCAAATAATAGGCACTGTGATATAGTCATGCTTTCAAGAACTATATAGCATATAACCGTAACGTATGAAATGAAAAAGTCTGTTCAATGACACCATGAATTATGCAAAGAGACTACATGGGAGCGCTGAGTTCCACGATGCCATTCATAATAAATCCTACATTACTATAGTCAGTAAAAATTGAAAAAATAAAACATTACATACATACGTGGAGCACAGCTTCACTCGTTGACGTATACACTCTTTTTTTTTATAAGAATATTGTTTACCCGGGCCAGCCTGAATATTCTTATTTTTCCGCCGATTTTAGGCTGCAAATATTCTTGTATTATTCTTAATAATAGCTTATGACCTTTCCGTTTTAGAATATATTAAGGTATCAATTATTCGAAATTATAGTTTTGTTAAATATAGTTAGCTAGTTTTGCCGTTTAAAGAAAGGAATAAATTGAAAACGTATATTTGTATTGTATTTACAGATTTTCACCACACCAAATTATATCCTTTTCAAAATCTCAGCCTGGAGTTTATTCTTAAAGTATTCTTAAGATTTCGCAAATTTCAGCCTCGATATTCTTATAAAATATATTCTTATAGAAAAAAAAGAGTGTATGATTTGAAGTGTGAAAACAATCTACGACAGCAGAGTTGGTCTTGCGGCACTTATGTGATGCAAAAATGGATAAAGGGAAAGAAGTTGAAGTATTAAAGGCATCATTCTTGGGCTTCCTGTATGTTCCAAAGACATATTTTGGAAAATTTTGGTGACGACCAGTTTTTATGGTTAGACGTCGAGGTCGTAACTGGCATAAGGTCATATCCAAGGCAAACAAGTTTTTAAACAACAATGCGAATCTTTGCTCTGTTAACATATTCCAAAATCCGCAGTAAGAAAGTTTATGATCGATCTGACTTGTCAATGACTTGTCTGAATCCAAGCAGCGACATATCGTTATATTTACATCATCATGTATGAATTAAGCTCATCACAGGGTTAATCTGATATATATATATAATGATGATCAGTTCAAAATACGCTACCACAGCAAAAAATGACCGAATGGGGTTGCAACCACACAGGTTTTTTTCCCTTGCACTGCTTCTTTCCTCGTGCTTACAGTGCTTATGCATCATCAACGATCATGATTGAAACTGAGGCATGAAAACTTGCCTCAATGGGAAAAACTATGCTCTGCTGTTGCCGAGAAAACCAATAAACAATTAAAAACGGCGAGGTTAGACTTCATTTTAGCAACCATATTTAAAAGATTAAAAGTAAATTAACGCCTACGTAATTAGGTAATTAAGGTCATCATTCAACCTTTACTGTCGAGAGTAAGATATTACGTACACGTCGAATAGACTTACTCGATCAGGGGTTCTCTTAGAATTGCGGCAGCGCAAGTGTCGGCGGGCGGGCAAAGGAGGAAAAGTAATGCCTGATACATTTACTTTTCGAGTTGTCTACCACCTATCGAGTGCTTATCCGTCCTTTTCCCCCTTGCCTCCAAAGAAAACGGGAAGAAGGACCACCTACGGTGCGTGCAGTTTCGAGACCCTAAAATGAATATTTTTACCGTCATACTGATTTAACCCACTGCCTCAGGCTTGTCTCAGCTGGCGTAAACAGCTCCGAAATTCACTGGCGGCGAAAGGATAGTTGATGTTCAACTGGGACCCCAGACGGACCACCTAAACCAGCCTAAACAGATCAACTCGTGCATTTGCATAAGAGAATTCACCTTAGTTGATGTTTCCATTGATTCAGTCTGTCGATCTACATATAGCCTTATACTAAAAGCTAACAGGAAGCCTGCGAGCTATTTTTTGCTCTCGTTAACTCGGTTTCTCCTCCAGGCAAAAGACAACTAAGGCGAAAGGCTCGGAGATTCCATGAAAATATTAAGGAGCCATATTGGTACTTTTAATTCTAAACAGGATTACCTTTTAAAATAAAAGGTCATTGGCATTCAGTCGCTACGTCGTCCCACGTCTCGCTTACGGTTTCTTAGTTGTATGTGAGTTGAAGTTTGTCTCACTAGAATCACCATCGTTCGCTATCTTTCATTCACAAATTTGTTCCATACGATACCAGATATGTTAATCTAATGGCCGGCGAATGATTTTGTCGTTCCCAAAAGTCACTGTCTATTCGTCTTACCTCTCTCGCTGCAATCATAACCTCCTCTGGCCCCGGCACGATTTATCGACTTTTAACCACTCGTCCTTCTTTATCACATTGGTGGTGCAGTGATAGAAACAAATGATTTTCCAAATATTCGCCTCGGGGAAATCATCAGTCAGGCATGTTTCGACGTAACATAACTTCCGGGATGAAAAATACCAGCATTCTTTGCGATGACAGAAACGGCCCTTATCAGCGAGGTACCTTATTTTCCGGTGAAGTGCTTACCACCATTAAAGTACATGGTCACTATCATGAAAAGCTGAAAGAAAAAAAAAGTGAAGTGATCTGCATGATCAAAAGACAAAAGCGATCATAGAGTTCTTAGAGACCGAAACCTTGTCGATGCTTTACGAAGGGTTTCTTCTTCTTTACGCGATACGCTGGATTGTAGTGAATCGTGCCCGCCATGCCCAAGAGCTTATTAAACCTTTACTTTTGCGTGTTTTCGTTTTGAAATCACAGTTCAATTTCTCATTCCTTTTGATTCAGGTGTACGTGATGTTAGTCTTATGCCATTTTACAAGTGTCTCACAGTCAAGATTATTCATAAGGCTTTTCATTGATGAGACTCTTTGCATAATTCTGACTTCCGGTTTCCGGTTTGAATGAAAACGAGGCATAAGATGTATAGTGTTTCAAGATGGCGGAAGGCAAGAAGAAACGAAGTCAAGGAAAAGAGTGCTCGTTTTTTGGTTGCTCCAATAGAATGTACGATGCAAATGGGAAAAAAACACGCTTTAGATTTTTTACATTTCCAAAGGATGAAAAGCTTCGTAGAATTTGGGAAAACCGTGTGGCGAGAAAGTCGGGAAAAGACGGTTTCCGTATAACCAAGGCAACTGTGGTTTGCAACGTCCATTTTCGAACAGATGACATATTGCGCGTTCCAGGGGGGAGTCGGTTAGATTCAAGGAAAGGAGCAGTCCCACTGAAATGGAATGAAAGACCCAAGGAAAAAGAAAAAAAAAAAGAACAGCTCCACGACAACTCAGACAACGAGAAACATCACTGAACGTAACCAAGTCACCGCCAAAAAGCTCGAACCAGGATCACTCAGTCAAGAAATTTTCAACGACGTCAGAGATAGTACAGGTGGGAAATGCGAACGTCGATTCACTTCGTATCTTAGCGTCAAAAGCTCTGTGTAAACTTAATAACGAGCTAGTTGAGAAAGTTAAACTTCTTACTAGTAATGAGGACAAAAGTCCAATTTTTTCTGTGAATAATCTGGCCGATGGTGAAAAATGTAAGCATTATACTGGTTTCCCCAACTATGCAGTGTTTATTGCAGTGTTTGATTTGTTAAAACCTGGTATGAATGGTGAGAATGTCAAGCTTGTGTCAGCTCCCAATGCTCACACAGGTCGTGGACGTAGACGACGGCTCAGTGGCAAAGAGCAGTTTCTCTTAACACTGATGAGGTTACCGGAGAGGCTTCTCCACGGAACATCTGGAGTGGTTGTTTAGAATTGACAAAAGTACAGTCAGCCGAATATTTGTCAGTTGGGTGAATTTTATTTACCTTCGTCTGTCAGCAATTCCAATATGGCCAACAAGGGAACAAGTTGATCAAACTATGCCCCAAACCTTTAAAGACAGTTTCCCTAAGACACGTATTATCATAGACTGCACTGAGTTCTACTGTGAAGTTCCCACATCACTAGAACTAAAATAGAACATGTATTCTGACTATAAGGGTAGGGAGACCTATAAGGCCCTTGTAGGAATTACTCCTGCTGGAAGGGTGTCTTTTGTTTCCCAGCTTTATTATGGCAGTTTATCTGACCGAGAGATAGTGGAAAGAAGTGGTCTTCTTAACCCAAGGATGTTTGATGATGGTGATGAAATAATGGCAGATAAAGGATTTAACATAAGAGATCTTACTGACAAAATTGGGGTGAGGCTTAACTTGCCAATTTTTCTTGGATCCAGGGATCAATTTGAAGCTAATGAAACTGTTATTAACCAGAAAATAGCCTCCAACAGAATACATGTGGAACGTTTCATCAATAAGGTGAAAAAGTTTCGACTTTTAGACAGAACAATTCCACTGTCTCTGCATGGATCTATTAATCAGTTGTGGACAGTTGCAGCTCTATTGACATTGTTTCACTATCCAATCATATCTGCATGACTCACTAGGGACGTGAGCACCAAACTGTGGTGGAATGTGGAGTCAGACTTATTGTTTAGACAAACAGAAGCTTTTTCAGACTTTTAAAAAGTGTACCACTTTTATCTTTCTACAGTAACCAATACGTAACTTTTGCTAAACAGTATTAATATGTTAAGAAAAATATATGCAAGATTAAAGTTTATAAGAGTGAAAGTTTTTTGTTTTGTTTTTGGTGACAGTAACATAGCAATTATCCATACAGTACTCTATTATGCAACCTTATTCTAAGGGGTGTTTTTGTAGATGATTTCACACTTTTAATTACCAACTTACAACTATCTTTGGAAGGATGAAGGAAAAATAATTGTTGCCAACCTTTGTTACGGCATCTTTACAGAATTGTTCATTAAGAGTGAAACGTTCAATAAAAAGACTTTTATGTGTATAAACAACAAAGTCATTGAACATAGCTCTGGTTAATGCTGGCTGACATTGAACTTGAAAATAGTAGGGGTGATCTTGTTTTAAATGCAAACTATTTCCAGCAGCCGCAAGGTAAAAATTTTTGTTCGCCTGTGCGACATCCATGAGGTCACTGTCTCTTTGATCATACGGGCATTTGGATTCTCCAATACCAACTTTATTGGGAAACAGTAATTTCGCATCAGGTGAGCAGCCTAACCATCTATTATTAGCATTTAGTACTAATCCACAGGGCAAAACTTTCACATCCTGTCCAAGTGAAGCAAAATACTCAAGGTATTTTCTCCAAGCAACTGGTTCGTACATTTTACCATGATCCAATTTTCTTTGCACAAATGATGATGGATTTGAGCCCCCAGAAACAAAGTTTTCTGCATGCCGTTCTTTCCCCCTCTTCCAACTGTAAACTTCATAAAACTTGGAAGCAGTCACCCTGTTTTTTCGCTGCTCCATCCAAATGGGAGAATTCGCCTGGTCTCTAGTGTCTCTCTCTAAAGCCCAGGAGTCTGCAGCTGATAAATCCAAATCATCAAAGACAAGGAGTTCCTCATCTTTTAGTTGATGCTGACCAATTTCATAGGAAACTGGGACTTCCTCGTGAGGAAAGGAAGGATATTCTTCAATTAAATCAGTAACGGTTCCTTGACCTATCGTTGGGTCAACCGAGCAATACACTTGAAAATTTGCTCCATAAATTGGTAATTGTTGTGAAAGTGGTGAAAAAGAGGGGTATCTACCATACTTTGTTTCCTTATAATCAGTTGCAAGAATATCTTTTTCCTTGCGGATGGAATTCACAAAAGGGATCATGGGATTAACCTTTGCCAGTTCAATTTGACACTGACTTAATGAATTGAAATTAAGTTCTTTCAGATGTTCTGCTCTGGCATCAAACAAATTGCACGCAACTCCCTTGGATTCTGGCTTTGTTTTTTTTAACTGTGGTG